TAAGGTCTGGGAAGCGAGCTGGAGGTGTTACATTCTAGTGTTGTAAAAATGAGGAGGGGGGGAGTATAAATTCCTGTTTAGGTTTCTATTTCTCGCTTAGCTTTCTTTTCTCTGCGCAGCTGCAAACCTTTATCAAAATATGCCAAGGTCAACGGACAGAGGCCTCATCACCACCTGAAGATGTCCACATGATCATATTCACAACTTTTAATTGGAAGAATCATTTGAACTATTGGGGGTGGGAACATTTCCATCACTTTGTATATGTGATCTGCGCGCCTAATTTCTCAGATTCAGAATTCTACGGTTGCTACCCCTTCATTTTCAGTAAAAGATACCTTTTCTCTAATCTATGGAGTCTAAGTATTTCTTTCTCGAATTTTGAATGGAGCACCACCTGACAGGCTGGTTGCTGATAACCCAAAACGGAACCGTGCAACTGTGGGTTGGGGGGAGGGGTGGCCTTCAGAATCTCAAACACGGGTCGCAGGTTCCTTTTTTTGGGGGGGGTCCCTCTTATCTTCAAACGGTCGCTAAGGGAGCAGTCATAATTTGAGGAGTCTGAAAAACATTGTTCCCCTTTTACCTATCCTCACAATGTCAACTAAAACAGGGGTCTCCAAACTTGGCAACTTTAAGCCTGGCGGACATCAACTCCCAGAATTCCCCAGCCAGCTTTGCTGTGTTGAAGTCCACCAGGCTTAAAGTTGCCAAGGTTGGAGACCCCTGAACTAAAAAGATACTCCTCCTTTGGTCTTTTTAGCTGCCAGAAAAAGGGAGTGGGGGAAAAACAGTGCATTCTTTAAGTGCCTAGATAATCGCCCTGGCAGCCCAAAGTTGTCGGAGCACAAGAATATTACTGGAGAACATGATTGATGACTCTTGGCTATGGATGTGTCCCATTGGAGAATATACATCCAGGGGGTGGGGGAAAGACCAGGGTCAAGGGGGAAATGAATGATGTATTTTAGGGTCTGCTGCACCCAGCTAATGCCAACATGGCCACTCCTAATAAATCGATTTTTTTTTTTTAACTCTGAGAGATGCGGCTAGAGACTTATGATTTGAATGGGGGTGGATTTGTTGGAGTGTTGACACACAAGTTCTGGGAAACAAGATGACAAGGGTTTCTTAGAAAGGAAGTCACGAAATACTTTTAATGTTGGCCTTTATTAGGAAGATATCTCAAATGAACAATAGACGGAGATGTTGAAGGGAACATCCCAAAACTTTTCAACAAAACCCCTTTTTCCAAAACATTTTTTTTAAAAAAATCCTTTGTTCTTCCCATTCGCCTAGCCTTAATTTTTGCTGCTTTGTAGGCTGACTGCGAAAGAAAGCAGAATTTGCCTTTTTTTTTCCCATTAGTCTCCTGTCTTTTAGGTTCTTATCAAGCTCCTCTAGGAACTGACCTTCAGCTAAATATTATGGGCTGTCAGCACTCTTGTCAAGCCGCAGCATTGCTGGTAAACAACCCTCATTGATCAACAAGAAATTTAATTACCCCCCCCCCCCTAATCTGGCAGTTCTCAATGAATGAAAAGTTAATAAATCAGAAAGTGGGTTCCTATGAAATTGAGGACTGAGATGAAACTTACTCTTAGGAATGTATCCTTCAAACCTTTCCTCTCCAGCTTTCCCTAACCCGAGGCCCTCCAGTAGTTACGTTGGTTAGGCAGTGTTGAGAAGAGCAGCCTCAAAAGCTTTGGAACAGGGGTCTCCAATCTTGGTAACTTTAAGTCTTGTGGACTTCAACTCCCAGAGTTTCTCAGCCAGCTTTGCTGGCTGAGGAACTCTGGGAGTTGGAGTCCACAAGGAACTCTGGGAGACAACAAGGAATTCTGGGAGTTGAAGTCCACAAGGAACTCTTGGAATTGAAGTCCACAGGGCTTAAAGTTGCCAAGGTTGGAGGAGGCCCTTGCTTTGGATAACATCAAGATGGGATGAGCTGATCTTCATTTGTACAATGTTTCTCAAATTTAGAGACTTGAAGGTGGGTGGACTTCAATTCCCAGAATTCTCCAGCCAGCTACGCTGAAGTCCACCCCTCATAAAGCCGCTGTGGTTGAAGAACCCTCCTTTACGGTGGTCTCTCCTACACAGGGTGTCTTCTAACTCTTCAACCTGTAGACGTTGACTAGTCCATCGAGCAAATTGCAAAACTGCAGGGAGGGGCCACCTCTTCACTTGGCTGTGTTGTTAGCGACTGTTACCTTGGTCAATCAGCTAACTACACTGCCTGGCGACAAGGCTGATATTGAGGCTTGGGCCTAACTTCTCTCCCCCTTCTTTGTCTTTAAGAGATCATGCAGTGGTTTCCAAACGGATTAGATCTGGATTTTTTTTTTGTCTTAAAGATACCCATTTCATGCTACCGGGACAAAATTGCAGTCCAATGCCTAAAGGAGAAGAGACTAAGCCAAGCTCTTCTAGATCTTGTTTTCTGAACTTCACCATCTGGTACCATTAGCAGGGCCATCACCCAATTCCCCATCAGGGAAGAAGACCCACCCATGGGCTTTTGGAAGATCTCGTTGGCTTGGGACCTGTTCTTCATTTCCGGTAGTATCTTGGAAGGCAACAGCTGATCTCCATGCCAGCTTTCCTTCATAGGTCTTGAATGCCAACTAGAACATCCCACCAACCCTACCAGAAAATCTGCCACAAGAGAACCCTGAAATTTGCCCAACCGTCCTCACGGCATGATCACCACAAAGCTATGCAGAAGTTGGGCATGTCTCCACTACTTCTACGCCCCATCATTTCCTCATGACTGGTTGTATTTCTCGCTGTTGAATCGGTAAATCTCCAACATGGACCAGGAGATCTGAATGAAAAGCTCAATTCCTTGGGTTCCGGCTGGCAACTGGCTCCTGGGAAGCTTCTTGGAGACTGACGAATTCTGCAGATTGTTTTGTTGACAGTGAAGCTAGTGATTGTTGGGGAGATCACAATCAGCTAACTACACTGCCTACAAACCAAACGTCATGATCTGGAGGAGCCAACCTGTAAAAAAAACAAAACACACAGACACACATACCAGGGGTTCAGCAGTGGTTCCTTTGCAATTCATGATTGTAAAAATGTCCCGTTCCTGGACCATGGCATCTTGCAACAAGAACCTGGCCCCCTGAAACTCTTTGTTCTTCCTATTTTGAAGTTTCCAGACCTCATGATTGCCCAAAATAGACCTGAAAGTCTGCAGGCCCTGCCTCATGAGTCTAAGAAGTGGGAGATGCCTGAATACCCCAACTCTTTACTCAATTCTGCAATAGTCATTATAAATATGTAGGTTTAATATGAAATACCCACTACTCATGCATGCTAGTTTTGCTAAGCATGATACATAAAACCACTCTCTAAGGCTCTACCGTTCCTGAGACCCCTCGAAACCAAAGTCCAGTTTAACCCCAGTCTGGTGGGGTCCTTGAATTAATCTGCTTCTTCTTATATTTTGTCCTCTGTAAATGAACAGTGCCAGGGACTAAGTATAGACTTAAGGAAGGAGGAAGCAGCTCCACCTGTAAAAATTACAGTATTTTTCTACAGAGAGTTAAACAATCTGTTGCAGCATCCCAAATCTGCAGTTAGCACAACCTCCATGTTGGCAGTTACTGATTAGATTAGAATAGAATAGAATAAGGTTGGA